TACGAATATAAATATTACAAGCCATTTTCATTCAATTTCGCTGGGAATTTACATATAGAAAATGTTTCGCCTAAGTACATCACTTGAAATATTTCTGCTATATTTACACAAGCTGAAGTCAATGCGAGTGGAAGGAAAAGAAAGATTCTCTGTCTAATTTTTGGTGCTACTGCGAAGCAATATTCTCTGTAATGTTTGACCCTTCAGTGACATTGAAAGACGTATTGTTGTAGGTCGTTTAATTAATCTTTAAAGTGGCTATCGGGTACCGATGATAATTTCATTTTAAAAAAAAGCAAAATTGATATTTGTATCTCATTAAGCCCTCCCAACAGACTGAAACTACTGTTACTATATGTCGACTCACACAAAGCTATGCTACTTTTCTGGGAAACATTTTAATAAACTTTTAAATTCAGCAGAAATATTTCAGGTGATAAAGTTGGGTGCAACACTCTGTATGTTCAGAATATACTTTTTCGAAAATATGACATTAGGTCGTTGACTGCCTTGGAATCGGCGATCGACTTTTTGGTGATGCCATTGGTTTAATTAATAACCACCGCCGTCAATATTAATTAAAACACCTCAACTAATTTGCCATAGTTGTATACATTGTTAATGCTATTAATATTGGAACATAACTTGATAACCCTCCACAAAGTAAATGTATGAAGTATGATAACGTAGCTTAATGCGGTAATTTAATGCGGTTCGTGCCAAATTCGTGTTACGTACGAAGACCCTCTCGTGACCTCTTAACCCTATCGGGAGTTGGAATGCATCCGGTCAGATTACATAATTGCCCACGGTTATGGCGTGGCCAGATTTTCTTGGAAAACAGTTTCCGTTGAGGAACAGGCGTGTCCCCCACTACTTTTAGACTCGATTTTTGGGGTATAAAAAGCTACGCGTACAGCTCATCCCGGATCGGGTATTAAAGTTCCTTTCAAGCATTTTAAAAGTAGGCTAAACTCTGTACAGCAAACCCCCGCATTTGTCAGTGCGTGAAAACCGAGAACGTTGGAATTAGCTTCCGCCACCACAACTTACATTAACATTTGTAAAATCTTTACTTTCTTCAATATACTTTTATACGTTTATATATTTATAATTCAGTGTTGTTCATTTCAATTCTAGAATAATATCTAAATTCCCAGCTAGAAGCGAACCCACAAAGGCACACTTTTACCGCTCGAAGTGTACCGAATTCTTAAAGTTACGAGGTCCATACTAACAATCCTAGTGACTCCCTGAGATGAAATAGGCACGGGTTCGTCCACGACTGCCAACCTCCTAGTGGCTCCCTGTGATGAAATAGGTACAGCTTCGTCCACATAACAAACTCTAAAAAACCAAACTCGCCATTTCCTCGGCTTTCGCAGCTGCTTAGCCCTGGCTCGTAACATTCGAAAGACTAATTATTAAATAAAATTCATACAGATTGTTTATTAGAACGCAATACACACACTCGAAAAATTTGAGACTAGCTCGCCGATGAAATAAATAGGAAAAAGCTTGTAAAAAATTCAGTTTTGTAACATAGCTCTTATGGCGGTCTTACAATTTCTTACCGGGAAGTATAATCTTTTCTTTTCACGGAAACTGGAACTGTTAATCAAAAACTAGGCACTGAAAGTATAAATTCTGAGCTTTCTGATAATGAATTAAATCTTGTACTATGCCAAAAATTCGAGGAAGATATTTGACAATAAAGTCCAGGATGCGTCGGTAGTTGAATGGTTACCAGAACTATATTGAGGACTTAGAAACGTTGCTGAAGTAGAGTCATTCCCGCAAAATTCAAATAAATATAAAAGATATTTTACTTATTTTGTGTTTCAGTGAATTTTAATTTTGTTAATTACAATGCACGAGAATATTATTAACTTTACGTATAAGAATATTGAATATTGAATATTGACTATATACGGGAAAACTGAACACGCATACACGTATATAAATATGCGTGCGAAAACAACGTACCAGAACGTTGCCAAACGTACCAGAAACGAGCACAGTGGAGTCAAACGAGACTAACACAAATATATTTTTTATCCAGGGTGGGGCAATAACTATGTCCACTTAAAATATTGCCGTTATTTGTAATAATATGAAAAATGTAATATACAAAACTTACACGGTATAGAGGGGGCATATTGCGACACAAACATTTTCTGCGTGGGTGAAGACATAGAGGAGATTTCAAGGTCATCTCTATTTTTTTTAATGGAATGCTATGTTTTTTTTTATCGCGATGTGATAGCCAGTATTGAGACGACTTCAGCGAGCTATCATTGAAGGTTATGCAAGGTCAAGTGTGGTAGTAAAATCAACTTTCTTACATTACAGGAGATGCTCGAAGTGGTGACCGTTTGCTTCAATGCAAAGTTGCAATCTTCGTATCGCTGCATCACGTGCATGTCTTATCGTTTCTGAACTTATTCTAGCAAATGCTGCAATTATCCGTTGTTTCATATTTTTTGGTGTAGCGGTACTTCTTGATAAACAGCCATTTTTCAACGCTCCCTAGAGACAAGAAATGTAATAAGGTTAAATCTGGAGAACGAGGTGGTCAAGAAACTAATCCTCCACATCCTATCCATTTATTTGGGTAAAGTTCGTTCAGTGCATCTCTTACTCTCCGAGCATAATGTGCTGGACACCCGTCGTGCTGTAACCGCATCATTTGGCGAACGTTTAGTGGTACATTTTCTAACAAAGTCCCCAATCTACTTCGTATAAAGTGTGCATATCGTTCGCCAGTAAGATTTCCATCGATAAAATGCGGTCCGATTATTTGATCGTCAACGATTCCACACCACACGTTAACTGACCATTGTCGTTAATGCTCAACTTGTTGTAACCAGTGTGGATTATCGATACTCCAATAATGCATATTATGCAAATTGAGATTTCCATGGTTAGTAAACGTAGCTTCATCGGTGAACAGTATTGAAGAAAAAAATGTTTCATCGATTTGTATTTTGTGTAGAGTCCACTGACAAAATGCGACACGATTCATAAAATCCGTACCGTGTAACTCTTGATGAAAAGTAATACGGTATGGATGAAATTTATGCCGTGCAAGTATTCGTAGCACGCTCCTTCTACTGATAACCGACTCACGTTCAATCTATCGGCAACTAATCTGCGAGTTATGAACTACAACTGCAAGAACGTCAACTTCATTTCTTTTATCAGTTCCTCTTTTACGACGACTGCTCTTACGTATACCCAAATTTCCGGTTTCATTCAATTTTTTTGCCTACTATCTTTGAAATGTTCGGTGTGAAGGATGTGTGCAGTTTCGATATCGTTCAGCATACAAGGATTGTATGCTCTTCGAAAGAAAACTTAGCAATTCGACCGAGACTGACTACCGATTCGTGTTAATGTTACGAACTGATGAGATTTTTACATTTCCAGCTATACGTGATGTATTGTCACAACATAAACAATGTTACAAGACCATTCGTTTATGTAAAAGTGAGGGCTTATGAAATAATACAGCATGTGCTAGAATAAGTTCAGAAACGATAAGACATGCACGTGATGCAGCGATACGAAGATTGCAACTTTGCATTGACGCAAACGTTCACCACTTCGAGCATCTCCTGTAATGTAAGAAAGTTTATTTCACTGCCACATTTGAACTTGCATGACCTTCAATGATAGCTCGCTGAAGTCGCCTCAACACCGGCTATCACATCGCGATAAAAAGAACATAGCATTCCATTAAAAAAAAATAGAGATGACCTTGAAATCTCCTCTATGCCTTCACCCACGCAGAAAATGTTTGTGTCACAATACGCCCGCCTTTATACCGTGTAAGTTTTGTATATAACATTTTTTCATATTATTACAAATAACAGTAATATTCAAATTGGACATAGTTATTGCCCCACCTTGTATATAATATAATGAAAAATGATCGTTGGAAAGGTCGTTGAAATTCATAGATATAATTTTTATACACTATTAAAATGTGTTAGTGGGTGTTTAATACCAATTACATAGTAATATGATGCTTTATTGACTAGTCAGATACGAACCACCTTAACACGTTGACTGCCACGTCACCCAGATATGGGTGACATCGTTTAAGGTAACAATTACAAACAGAACTTTTGGGTAAAATATTGAAACGAATTAAATTTCTGTCAGGGCCTAGGAGATTCAAGAAGATCGAAGGAACAGTTACTGCAAGACAATGAAATTCTCAAAGTTATAATTTTCTTGAATCAAGTTGCTCTCTGTTAGATCTTTTCTAGCCGTTGATCCTGGCAGTGAACGTGTTAATGCGACATTCTTAATTGTATCTATTCTTACATACTCCGTATAGATGATTTCACTTCAGCGTTATGGCTGAAACATTCGAAAATCGCTCGATATTCTACGTCTTTAAAATTAACCGATATACATATGTGTTAGTACGTGGAATCATTTTAGTTCCAGTAAGTCAAGTGGGAACGGATTTTAGGAAGGTTAGCAATTGCGTTCTTCCGTAGTCAAACGGTTTGAGACAAAGTCTATGAATGCCTCCCATCCCCTTTACTTTACGGTACCATTTGGATGCTCGGAAATTCGATTTGACAAAATGTTCACAGACCGTAATGACTAACTCCAGTGTTTGAATTTTTTCAAATTTTAGTGCCAAAAAACACTCGATTGGTGCTCAAGTTTTTATACTTAAAATAAATGTTAGATATAAATTTTCTAAAGTTAATCACTTTGGCAAATGAACGGATCAAATGTCGAAATACCTGCAAAACGAATGAGATAGAAGTCGATTTTCATTCGAGCGCTACAACAGGAATGAACCAAACTGGCCAAAATCGTGAACCTGCAGTATCCTTGAAATTAGTCATCCTAATGATAGAAAATCGTTCCTGTGTAAATACTACAAACCCGAATGGATCCTGTTGTCTTCATACGTGATCATAGAAACCATCAGTGTCACGAGGGTTAACCACGGTGTTAATTATTTTTGTTCACAGAGCGTCACGTTCAAGGATACCCAAGGAAAGGTCACAAAGGCCGCGGAGAAAGCCCAGAAGAAAAAGTAACCATCAAGCTTTCTCGGAAGCTCGCAGTCCGTTGGCTGGCGCCCGACGAGCGTTTCCGTGAAGGGATCCTCATCCAGGATGCAGTACGCCGCGGCTGCTCCATTCAACTCATACTCAACTGATAATACCAAAAGTGAAAAGATGTTGTGCTTACCCCCGTTACATTATCCGGTAGTATTGAATCCGCGCATCTATCCGAATCTGCACATTCAGTTCACCCATGCCCCGCGCACTCCCCACATATGCTAAGGTGGACTATTACGTTTTTACTCATTTTTACATTGACGAGATATGTGTCCAGTTACAGGTAATACTCAGTTCCCTTGGACTCTGTGTAGTTAGGTTTTTCAATTATATACATTATACACACAACACACGCACGTACACACCGAAGACGAAGACGGGATGTCGTGCGACGACAAAATATCGAGGCAGCGGTCGACACATCCTCTCTCGATTCCACGCGGGATCAAATCCTACCGTTGAACTATAAATGGCGTCGAACTCACACTTCGGGACGCGTGAAACCGTAACGATCGATCTCTTTTGCCCGACGACCGTGTTCATTAACCGCGATGAAAAAACGGACACTCGTCGTTGTCTCGCATCCCCGATCTTTTTAATCGATTTATTTCGACAAATTCGTTAAGGCTGATTTCTTCAGAGACTTGGTTGGCTGGCCGCAAATACTTTTATTACTTATATAAGATTGTATTTATTTCTAGTTAGGGATCATTAGACCGTGTCCCTCCAATCCCTTTCGCGACTCGTACGAAGCTCCCTCGCGACAAAGGGAGAACTACGAAACACGTCCTTTGGCTCGTGACCGTCGAAGGTTCCATTTACGAGCTGTCTGTGTTAATCTCAATATCCCTGATAGACGCGTTCTACCATTGTTTTGACCCTTAGCCAGTATTATGTTGATGTAATAAAACAAAAATTTTAATTGCGTCTTGTAGTTTTTACTGCTCAATAGATGCCTTTAACCCTTTCGAGAGTATTTGTACGTACACAACAGTAGGTACCAGGTGGGAGAAAATTTCAGAGATGATTCTACATGATCAAATAAGTAAAATTCGGAGTGATAGAATTTTTATTAGGTTGGTGCATATAAATTGATGCTTTTCCGGAATTCGAATGTGCCAGGCAAATAAATTCCATTCAATTTTATCCGATCTTCTATTGTTTAATATGGTTATATTAAAGAAGAACAACTACACTCTAGTGCAATTGTTTTGAATAACAGAAATACCTATTGTAACCCCCCATTTTCATCCGTCATGATTAATCAAAATATTCGTGTGATTTTTTATGTGAGTTTACACTTGGAACAAGTGCGATAAAAATAACACAAATTTAAATATAGGCTGGTGATTTTTCGTTAGAAAATTAATCAAGAGGATGACCAGAAAATGCCACCGACAATAGTGTTTTAAGATATATTATTGAAAATAATCCACGACAAACAAGAAGAGAAATAACAATGATGGAACTACACGTGGATAAAGTTTCATTTGTGAAAACGACATTTCATATGTACCAACTTCATCGTTATAAGTTATAAGTAGTTTAAAAGTGGCGCAAAGTTGGGCTATAAGCCAATCACAGACGTGCATAAAACAGTCCAATAGAATTATATTATTGCAGTCATATTTAAAAATCAATTAGAAATATACCTTGTAGAAATTGTGGAAAATTACACGATACTCGTTGGTCCTATAGGAACTTCTGTCGCGTTATAAAACTCGTAAGCATATATTCTTTTATTGTATTATATCTGTCGTTTAGGTGGGGGATTTCAGAAGTACCACAACCCTTTGTACTAAATTCTCCAGTACAAACGAATAATGCTTTTTCCTTTACACGAGTAATTCACAATTAAAAAGTTTCCAAATACACAGAAAGGGGTATATCAGAAAATTGACTAATACACCGTGAGTATACGCCACAATCTAAGTATACTAAATTAAGTTGACAGCATGAGTACGAAAATACTTTCAAAAATTCTAATTCGCATTACGAAAAATTCCAATTTTTTCTAAGTCACTATTCACGAAATTTTGTTACTTTAATGAACCCTTTCATTAACTTGAATTAACCTTTTCACCCCTGATATCGGTATCCGTGAAGTGATTCATATCCATGGATCTAGTACTAGTATCCACTAGTGCCGGCATGCAGGTATGAGCCATTCGATATAAGATGATTCGATAAAAATTACATCTACTAAATTTTGTATAACTTTAAAGATGAAAATATTGTATAAAGATCAATGGATTAACAAGTGAAAATTGGTAGTAGAACAGGAACTTACAGGACGGTGATTCGTTTAATTAGAATATTGTGGGTAGATAAAGAAAAGGAACAGTTTTATGGTAAATATAATTTATACCGCATAAATTCTTCGTTAACGTTACAACTAGACGTGGTATGTACAAATATATATTTAATGCAATGATCTTACAAGAATTTAGTGTAATGCAGGTCTTGGTCAGTCTTTAATTGCCGAGGCCCGTTTTGCCGAGGCATCAAGCAGGCTCGATCCTCGCTTACGATCGAACACCGTGACACATAATTATTCGCAGAAACTAAACACTTTCTTCTTCTTCTTCGTACATACGGGACTGATCACATTAATTGGAATCGATTAAATCAAATAGTGTAGGCACTTTTGTCGGCTACCTTACGCTTCGAAAAATACAATTTCGTCGGCCGATCGAATAAATTGCGCACGCCCGATCCGTATCAACGTATCTGCTGAAGACACTCCGCAAGGTCGTTCGTACGGGCGGAAAAAAAATTGAGAAAAACTTGTTCTTAATACTAATTGGCAAATATCGATGATATTTAGAATTCGATGCTGCAGTTCTGTTAGCCGGTAACATGGCGACACGTCTGTCGGATCGAAGAAAACAGTAAAAAAAAAAAAAAGAGATAAGCACGGAGAAATAAATGGAACAGACATACAGGATGATACACCAAAATAAAGTAAAATGATACTGGTAAGAAAAAAAAAATACAAGGAAAAGGAGGAACGGGACTCGACGGTATGACAGATTTACGAAAAGAAAAGGCACACCGAAATTAAATCAACCCAGGGGCTCCACGCCCTAATACTCTATCTCTACCTACAACCTGTATCGCGCTTTTTCTCGTATCTTGTAAATGCTAAGACAACCCACAGCCTCGGTAAATATACAAAAAAAAAAAAAA